AACTCTGATGTCGACATCAAACCAGCCGGACATTCTTGATCGGGATTTAATCCGAGGATAATACCGGTTGGAGCTTACCACCATAACTGTCAGTTAGTGTAGCCAAACGAGCATGACGTCATCATGGTTTTGTTTGAGGGAAAAGTATTGTAATATTTTGAGCACAAAACGCTTTCCACATTCCGAGTTATTTCGTGGCGGAAGAACTAAAGATAAAGCAAACCATTCCTCGATTTGATTTGCTTTGCACTTCATTTTGAAATTTTGCGCACGAAACAAAAAACTACACAACGAAGAGCTCTACACGCTTAGTTAGAGATGAACGCCTAAGGCTGAAAATCTCTTTAATAAAGAATTAAAAAAAAAACAATCTACACGCTTAGTTCAGTGCACCCAAATATGGGTTTAGAATACCCATAATCGCAAAAAAAGTACACATACCCATATTATGAGTAAAGTCGATTTACCCATATTTGAGTACATACAATATACGAATAACCACTCTTAGCTAAGATTACTTAAAATTATCGGTAAAAAGTTAACGGTATTTTTTACCGATAAAAATCGTTACTTTTTACTTTAAATAGGCTATTTTTTACTATAAATTAGGTAATTTTTAACGGTAATTATTGGTAATACATGAGGTATGTGCACTTTCTTCGATTATCGGTAATTTCTACCGATATTAAGGTATTCTTTACCGACTTTAAGGTATGTGCATCTTAGCGTGTAGGTAATGTTAACCTATTTATGGGTAATTTATTTTGGGTGATTTTAACACATTTTTGGGCGAATGAATTTAATTTGTGATTAAAAAAAATTAAAATTAAATGCTTCAACTTTTATTTAATTCAAATACTCAGGCTGTGTGAATGATGGTGAATTTTTATTATTGATACAGTAGAAAACCGGAAATTTCGACACGCGCCAATCGATTTTACTCTCAATCTGTGCATAAAACATAACGTCGGACATAGTGCGCTGTATTTGTACAATGATGCGCCATAATGCACACCATAATGCTTCTGCGCAAAGTCCGGTATACCTCAGGGCAGCCATCTGGGACCATTGGTATTTCTCCTCTACTTCGACGACGTTCACCATGTTATCACAGAGCCACGATTATCGTTTGCAGACGATCTGAAAGTTTTTCTGCGCATCCGCTCACTCGCCGACTGCCGTTCTCTCCAAAATCAGATTGACATCTTTGCTGACTGGTGTAGTCTAAACCGACTGGTGGTCAACCCAGCTAAGTGTACAGTTATTACTTTCTCACGCAAGAAACAACCGATTATTTTCAACTACAAACTACTAGGCACGACTATCGAATGGGTGCACTGCGTGAAAGACTTAGGCGTTTTTCTAGACTCAAAGCTGACATACTCACACCATATATCGTATGTCGTCGACAAAGCGTCCAGAACGCTTGGATTTGTCTTCAAGATTACTAAGAACTTCACGGACATTTACTGCTTGAAATCGCTCTATTGCTCTCTCGTACGATCTACGTTGGAATACTGCTCTGCTGTCTGGAGCCCGAACTACAATAATGGGGCCGAGCGAATTGAATCTGTTCAACGACGTTTTCTTCGCTTCGCGCTCCGTAAGCTGCCTTGGAGATACCCACTTCGTCTTCCAAGCTACGAGAATCGCTGCCAATTGATCAATATCGAGCCCTTACGTATCCGAAGAGATGTTTTCAGAGCCTTAACCGTCGCCGATACTCTGCAAGGAAGAATTGACTGCGAAGCAATTCTGCAACAAGTGAACATTAATGTTCAACCTCGATCACTACGCAACAGTCTTATGCTGAGACTTCCACTTCTTCGAACTAATTATAGCATAGGGAGCGCTATTTACGGCTTGCAGCTAGTGTTCAACCGAGTAGCGTCGATGTTCGATTTCCACTTGACACGGAATATGCTTCGCCGAAGATTCTCTGCCTTTTTTGCTGACCGAAGGCGCTTGATACCCAACAGCTAAGTGTAAAATTTAAGACTTATAAATTTTTAGTAACTTGACAATGCTTTCCAAGTTATTTTCGTTTGTAACTGTAGTAACTGTAGTATATGTATGTCGTCTGTATAATCTGTACTTTTTTACAACACATCATTGGGACTATTTCAAGAGCAAATTTTCATTACGTCGAAAGTAACAAAGGTAAACAAAGTCGAGCTATCAGTGTCAATCGATGCTCCTGCTATTACACTATATACTGTCCGAATATAGGATCACATCCCATTTTTAAATTTATTTACCAGTCAAATTGCTTTTTGACGTAATCACCTTCCGATCAAAAAAGTTTTCGATGTTACTTAAGTCACCTGATTTCTATGGAGATGCCGTTTGTCTTAAGTAACAGCGCTGAGAAACCCGTGAAAAGTGTATGTTCGTCGTTTCACTTTCTCGTTATTAAAGTGAATAAATCGAACAGTTTGTTGCTAAGATGATTTCGGTGGTCCTAAAATGATGAATGGACTGCACGTAAGGAGACGTAATTGATAATCCTCCCGAATATCCTGGTAAATACACTTTGACTTAAGTAACAATAGGGGCCACCAAACGACGTATAATAACTATTGACTTAAAAACCAGTATTTTTTAGCATGAAAGCTAGCGATTTGTATTTGTATGATTAAAACCCTGCTAAATATATTAAACATTGCTATTACTATGAGATTATATGAGTTTAATTGAAAATAGGAATAACTTTTCGGTCATCAAAACAAAACTTTATTTTTCTCGGATTGGTGCGAATGTTACTTACGACATAATGAAAAATTGCTCTTGATTTCTAGTCTGTTGATGCAACCATAACAAATAAACAAATGTCCGACGCTTTGTTGTTGTACAGAACGAGAGTAAAATCGAAAGTCGGGTGTGGGGTTTTCCGGTGCCAAACGCGACCGACAATACTTAAATTTGACAGATGGAAAATTTTCAAATAAACCTGCTATTCCAGCAGACTTATTTCTGACAGACAAGGAATAAATTTTGACAGACGCTTTCTTGAAAATCGGCCGATCAACAACAGAGGGATTTTCGAACATCTTAATTTATTTTCGAAGTGTCAAATCTAATGTCGTTTTCGTTTTTGCGGTGTAGCTACACCGGTGCTACACTGCCGAACACCGAAAAAATTTAGGGTGTAGCTATCGGTTGCACCTTTGTTTACAAACAATTGATGATGAACTGTCAATGATTTGCACTTATTGCTGCTTACACTACACCGGTGTAGTGTAGTAAAAACGAAAACGACATAAGTGAAAATTTTCCAAACGGAACACAGCCTCAATCTTGGCTTTCCACAATACTGGTGATCTCCTCATCTTCATCTTCCATTCCTTTCAAAAACTTGACTAACGAATTTACTCTCGATTTGAAACTGTAACGGGTAACCTCATTTGTAAATATTTCCAAATTCTAAAATTGTAGAAGGAAATATTAGAAAAAAGAAAAACGAAGAATAATGAATAGCTTATTAAAATAAATTATGCTGAATTTCCTGGCTGTCTGCTACACATATCGAAGGGTCTAGGTTTGAGTGGATAAAATTTGAGAAGGTGGACGCGCCGGTTGGGAAGCTCTAAGTCGGAGAGCATGCGGCAAAAATAAAGAGAAAAAATCAACTATACCGGTCAAGCAATTTCCAAAACTACTTACCAGTCAAGAGAATCTGAGCTGGGTTACGGAGTTTTGTAGGCAACGGATCAGGGCAGCAGCAACAAGAAAAAATACCTACGACAGATGACGACACGGAGTAGCGCAGCGAGGTTGAATTTTTCCCATAGTTTCCTCCTCCGTCTAACAAAACATAATGCACGGCAGAAATTTTACTTAGTATTAGATTAAATACTTCACGTTTCAGTTCCCCCGGTGCACTACACTGACTTCGAATTGAATTTTTATTGATGGATTTCAAGGGGAAATCCCGAAAGAAGACAACGGAAACTCGGATCTACTCGATACATAAACTGATCACTCACGAACTGAATGTTGGACGGATTGGAAAATGATTATTTTTTCATCCAAATATGAGTAAAGTGCAATAACCCATATTTAGGATAAAGTCGCTTTAATCACAATGTAAGTGAATTATACGGATTTTTCTTAGTATAATTGACCCATATTATAGGTAATGTATCAGAAACCCAAATATGGGTTAATCAATTACCTATTTATGGGTTACCTGAACTAAGCGTGTATGATGGCATGAACTTTTTTCGCGGATGCCAGTAAGAGATCATTTATTATTCATGGTTGCCAAAACAACTTTTTGTGCCTCCGCATGGAATCTACACGGTAAGAAAAATGTACCCAACGGCCAGTTCAATTTTACCTACTTTTGACTAGTTTGTCTCATTTTCTCCTTCTAATGTTGTCAAAAAAGAAGGAGCAAAACCACCCAACAGGGGACTAAAGTGTGGGAACCCAACGTTGGGTATGATAATATTTACCTACTGTTGGGTACAACTAACTTACTTTTGATTAAAAAGCTAGTGGAAAATTCCATACGAACTGCACACAAGTAAATGAAAATTACTTTGACCCGCTTTGCCTACTTTTGGGTTCCTGTACTACACGAAACGAAAATCAATTATTTTATTCATGTGTCTCACTTATACATTTTTGCCAAAGCATCAGCCTTATACATTCCATAAGACAAACCACATAGGTCCTACAAGAATGCATAAAAGGTATGTGTAACCGCTTATACATTTCATTTGACACATGAGCTTCATTAACTTTTTGCAAGGCGTCTGCTTATTAGTTGACTTATACATTTTATGAATACTCAGCAATAGAAATTTGCCAAAAGGTATAAGGAGATTTCTATCCGTGTATAGTGCCGAGATGAGTGAAATGAACTTTATTTTGGGGACTTTTTTCTAACCGTGTATAGTATCTTAAATGCGGGATAATTGGTTATTTTTTACCCATTAATGGGTTTCTACGAAACACCGTGTGGGCTGATTCAAAATAGTGTGTAATTTGCATTGCTGTCACTGGCTGGATGGCAGAGAAACTCGCAGTGAGATCAGTGAAGAAAAGTGCAGTTTTTCGGAGTTAAAATGGCTGGTTTGGTTCAGGATTGTTTTTCTATTGGAAGCACCGTGGCCTGTACTACATGTTACAATCAAAATATCGAAGGCGAGGTGTTAGCATTTGACCAGCAAACAAAAATGTTAATTTTAAGTATCCTTTTCAATGATGTACATTCAATGTTACCGAAAATTTCTAACATTGTTCTGTTTTGTTTTCCCTAATCCTGCATCCTGCAATCCCGCTAAACATCTGAATAAGTGTTTCGGAAGAATCGAAAGCTTACATTGCTTTGCATTTATCTTCAATTCCACAATTTTCCTTAACCAAAACTTGTCAATCATTAAGAATGTTCATCAGCCAGCAACTCTTCGAAGCTTAATGATGTCTACATTCTTAATTTGGCGCTCTGCAGTGATGTCCAGGTAAAGAAAGAAGTGAATTCGCTACCCGACCCACCGCAGTCGCTGAACCTGCAACGCGTAAGTATCGCTTTGGTTTATTAGTCGTGTTTGCGCATGAAAATCGAACTATCAATTTCGTCATTCATTCCAGTTAAGCACACGAGTCCGGAATCAGGTGGAACAGAAAAAACGATTGGTGTCCGCGTTGGCTGCTGGGGTCAGTCAGGAAGGACAGAATCTTTTTCTTGCAATTGCGAGAACCATTAACCAGGTAACTATTTTTTTTTTCGGATTATCTACATGAGTTAGGGATGGTCCATTAATTATGTCACGCAAATTTGGCCCATTTTCAACCCCCCCCCTCTCTCCTCCTTTGTCACATTTTTTGTATGAACCTTTATTTTTTTGTATGGCTCGTCACAGTTTTCAAACCCCCCCAAAATGTATGACATAATTAATGGACGACCCCTTATTGAATGTTTATCATTCTAGGTTTCGTGGGCTGGACCTAATATAGTTGTGTTTCAAGATGTAACCATAACGCCCCCCTACAAAGTAGATAATGTGAATGGATCGCCCGAGTCCAGGCAATTAACCTACGTGAAGAAAATAGTAAGACGGTTTAAAAAAGCATGTCTTGGTTCCAGACTTTAAAAACTATATTTTGGTACGTTTCAGGTTGAGAAACATGTAAATGATCAGGCTTCAGCAACCTCGAATCTGTCGTCGCCGGTAGTTTCTGCCTAATAAGTCTACATCGGGTGTTAAAGTGTGAATGGAGATGGAAATAGAATGTTTAATTTAGCCGAAAAAAAAAAACAAATTATGAGATCAACACAAGTTTAATCCAACAACAGATTAAAATTCACAAGCATTCATCAGAACTATGTAAGTATAATTTGTTGCATACATGTTGGCGCTCATCCATTCTCGAAGGGAAGAGAGGTTTGGTGTCCTCAGCATCAAACTTGTACAGATGGATAAGACCTATCTTTTGACATGATTATTTTAGTTCTACATCACACCGTGCAGATGACGCTTAGGCAGTATCCAAGGAAAATCATTCTTTATTCATTCAGTTTGATTGTAGCGGAATATCCCCTTTCACCGAATGTTTTTTATGTCTCTAGCGTTCAGAATCAAGGGCCTAACTGCGATCATCGATTTTCTCTTCGCATTATCACAGTTTAGTGAACCAATTTTAACTGAAATTATCCCAATACAGTCTAGTGAAAGGTTGTATTAGCTAGCAAAAGCAACATCAAACGTATCGAGAAATGTTAATCTAGTTGAGTTATTAACAAAAAAGAAAATCATCGATGGAGAGAATCGATCATCGCAGTTAGGCCGTTATAATTCTGAACGCTAGATCTGATTTATTTTCTAGGTTTCTTTTGATGCCAAAGATCTAAAGAACTACTCATTTTTAAAAGAAGAAGAAAAAAAATCTCCCAAAATTATTATTGAATTTTGCAGTTGAAACTGGACTCCTCAAAAGTGCGTTTCAACAAATCTCTTTAATAAAATAATAATAATAATAATAAAAAAAAAGTGCGCTTCGACGATGTATCTTGGAGTCTTTTTCGCTTTTTTTCGGTATGAACCAAGGAATAAGTGTTCTAAAGATGAATATTTCTGACTCTTGAGTATTGATTCCAGCACGTATGTATGTAGAAATTATACGTTAAGCTGTTCCTACGTGTTGTTAAATTTGAAATTACAAGACCCGTTTGCGAGGTAGCATTTCCACAACTTAGATTTATGGTTTTTATTGCAATTTGTCCAATTAAATTTTGTATAGTCGTACTTTAAAGAACAGTTCGACAGTGAGCATGCATAAGGGCCAATACGCGATGATCGATTCTCTTCATCGATTTTCTCTTTGCATTGCTACAGCTAAGCGAAACAATTTTCTAGAATTTGTTCAATGCAGAGTATTAACAGGTTGTATTGGCTATCAAAAGCAACATCAAACGCACCGAGAAACGTTAAATCTAGCGAGTTATTAACAAAAGAGAAAATCGACGAAGAGAATCGATCATCGCGTATAGGCCCTTATGCATGCTCACTGTCGAGTTGTCATTTACGTGAGAGGGGGTCACTATAAATCATGTACACAACACCATGAGCAAATGAAATTTTCAATAAATTCAGTTTAATTTAGCTAAAGAAGTTCCCCAGCCTAGGTCGGTGGGATTTTTCTGAGGCATAAAAATCTCTGGTCACGTCTTCCTTCCGAAGGGAAGTAAAGCCGTTGGTCCCGGCCCATGTGTGTTGAATGGGTGCGATTAAAGAGCCTGAAAAGCCTCTGTATAAATTCAGGCTCTTTAGGTGCGATATCCTACGCAGACGCAGGTGTGAATAGGAAAACGTCAAAAAGTGTGTTGTGAGCAGAAATTTCTACCGTGAGACAGGAAACGGAACACTTTTTTACTTTTCCTGATAAATTGATTTATTAGAGATGCTCCAAAACTTGATTTACAGTTGAAAAATTTAATCCTGTAACGTTTTTGCAAAGAGCCTGCTGGTGTTCAGGAATATTTTTGTTGAGAAAAATGGAAAATTAGAAAAGTGCCTTAGTGGTTATGATCTTCCGGATTTCTTGTGTGTGAAGTTAAGGTACAAATCAGTTCAGATCTGTGGAAAATCGTACAATAAGACAATTACTGATGGAAATTGGCAAGATATTGAATTAAAAATGCTTTAATTTGCGTTGTGAAAAATAGTTATTCTGATGTAAACAAACGGTTTGGTTGACGTTTCCTCGTACTCGCGTGGCGCACTCTACGTTGGTGGTGCATTAAAAAGACGTATTAAAAGAAAATCGACAGTGAGCATGCATAAGGGCGAATACGCGATGATCGATTCTCTTCATCGATTTTCTCTTTGCATTGCTACAGCTAAGCGGAACAATTTTCTAGAATTTGTTCAATGTAGAGTAGTAACAGGTTGTATTGGCTATCAAAAGCAACAGCAAACGCACCGAGAAATGTTAAATCTAGCGAGTTATTAACAAAAGAGAAAATCGACGAAGAGAATCGATCATCGCGTATAGGCCCTTATGCATGCTCACTGTCGAAATTATCCAAACATCATCATTTTCATAGTTATCGCTTCGAAATGTAGGTGGAGAGCGATCGCAAAGTTGCAATTCATCAATTTAATGTATCTGAAATTAGTGGGGCAGTTTGAGCCTACTAGCACAGAGAACAGACGTCCAACTTGCACCAGAAACTTGTGTAAAGATAAGTGGGAACGCCGCCGTTACGTGGCGCTAGCATCTCCTGATTTCCTCTAAAAAATTTCCACTTTCGACCGATTTGGCGCTAGTATCGATACATATTCTGTTTGAAATTACTAACATTTGAAAACGGCGCAAAAGCCATTTGTAAACAAACGGTTTGTGGGCCCTTTACTCGCTACCCGAAGAACGCCCACGCAAACCAACAGCATCGTCAGGAAGGGGAAAATTTCCCCTACCCGATGTTGCTGTTGTGTCGCGTGGGTGTACTTCAAGTAGTGAGTAAAGGGCCCACAAACCATTTGTTTACAAATGGCTTTTGTGCCGTTTTCAAATGTTAGCACTGAAATTTCCTCTGTTTGGGACATAACACTACTGCAACCAGTAATTTGATCTATTGTAGTATATCCCGTGTCCTTACCCGAGCAAAATCTGAGATCAAATTGAAATCTAAATTTGATGTTGTGATTTCGCTGATAATGATTGCTCAAGTTGCTGTCGTTTTGACCGTTTTTACGGTTAAAATATCAGTAACATTCATTCGACAGCCATTACTCGTATTCATCGGACGTGTGCTCTTTCTGCTCTGCTTAACTTGGTGAAATATTGTAGCGAAAATGAGTGTAGTTCGTAAAAACACACTTGTTGTTGACTTCAGTGTCCTTCCAGTTCGTCCCAATGCGGGAAAAGTGCAAAAATTCTTCGAGAACAATATAAGGCTTCAATATTCGGACGTTAGATGCATTCAGTTTCATAACGTCCGAAATTGTGTTTTTATTGAGATGATAGACAATGAAGTGGCCTTGCGCTATGAAAAGGCGCACAACTATAAACACGCGATTCTCTGTGCGAAGAGTGAGTTCAAAATCCCGATATATGTGGATTGTGAAGCAGTGACCGTTCGAGTGCATGACCTTCCTCTGGCATGGCCACAAGCCACTATTATAAACCACATGACAAAGTACGGGACAGTGATTTCCAGTCGACAAGAGAAATGGAAGCACTACTTCCCAGGATTCCTGAGCGGTGTTCGAGTTTTGCGAATGCGACTCGAAAGCACCATTCCATCATACATCACGGTCGACAACGAAACAACGTTGGTAACGTACGACAAGCAACCAAAAACGTGCCGCCATTGTGGTCGAGCAGCACATCCCAAACAGAAATGTTTGGATGTAGCCACATCGAACAATAGCACCGCTCCAGCAGCTCCACCAACCGAGGGGGTATTCAGTCTCGCTGATTTCCCGTCGATTGATATCGAACAAAAGCAGCCAACGACATCGGGTCAATCATCTCCTGCTTTCACCGGGTTCTCAGCAGAAGAACAACAGCGAAACACCGAGGATCATCACACTTCAAACGTTGAAAGCAACGACGAAAATTCTAGCACCAGCTCATCAAACGCAACAAAGGATCAAATTGAAAATATCAACAAACGCCGGCTGTCGAAACACAAGGAGAACGAAAAAAAGAAAGTTCGTGCTGATCAGTGCACCCAGAAGACTGGTCAGCAAACAGATAAATAGGGAATAATACGTTTTATTTGAAAAATAAAAGCGGGAAGGGTTCAAATTGTTAATAATGCTCATCGGCCCAAGCAATGCCTAATAGGCGAGGGGGCCTTATAAATAAACGCAAAAAAAAAAGGTTAAAATATCAAAATTGAGAGCAAACAAATCTTCCTGTGACATCACATTGAAAACTATTTCTGCTATCAGTGAAAGCAAACTGAAAATTAAATTTGTTATCAATTTTTCCGGTTGATAACAAAACAAGTATTCAATTTGATGTTATGCTAAGGCAATGAAAACAAACCCGCAACAACATATTTTTGAAGAGCATATGTACAGCAAAATGAAAACAAAATTTGGTATCAAATTTGTCCATTGCGTAAACTGAAATCAAATAATGATTTCAGTTTGATGTTGATATCAAAACTTGATTTCAATTTGCTGTCATTTTGATGCTGGACTTTGCTCGGGTAGTTTAGTGCATGTCGTATTACTCCATCACTATTGAGAAATGATGAAGTTTTCGTTTTTCATGCAGTTGTCATTCTTGCCTTCATCGCAAGGAATCGATTCTAATTGAAAGGTCCCGCTATTTATACCCTTCGGAGTGTTGGAACACCCTCCAAAGGCGCGCCCCTTTGTCAATCAAAACTGGATTAGTTAGTAACAAAAACAAACAATGACACGGATAGTGACCATGCATTAGAACCCTAGTCTTAACCACTGCAAACTAGGGAACAACGAATAAAAGATTAGGAATCACATAGGTGAAGACTAACTAACTCATTTTTCCTTGTTTCAAGATCATCCTCGGTCCAGGCAACCCGAGGACTTATCACTATCAACAAGGCATAAAAAGTAACAAGGACTAAGATGTGTTCCTTTGATTACTGAAAAATCATGTTCCCCTAGTTTGAAGTAGTCAGGACTAGGAATCGGTGGTAGATCTTACATCCCGTAACGTACCACTAAAAGGTGATCTACCCACGTTACGGGGCGCTTAGTTTCTATTGAAAAGCCGTATACATTCTAGCATGTGTTAACGTTTAGCACAGAGAACAGACGTCCAACATCCACCAGAAACTTGTGTAAAGATAAGTGGGAACGTCGCTGTTACGTAGCGCTAGCATCTTCTGGTTTCCTCTATAAATTATCCTCTTTCGAAAAATTTGGCGCTAGTATCGATAAATTTTCGGTTGAAAATTACCACTCGGTGCTACCGGCACTTAGTGTCTAGTGTAAGTTGTGCAACGCCAGCGCCATCATGTTGTCAAAGAGGGTTTTTAAGTGCGGAAGTCGGCGTTGGTGGCGATTAAGTCGAATAGGAATCTTTATACAAGTTTTTACAGCAATTTAGTTCGAGCCTCAACGTCTGTTCACTGTGTGTTTAGGCTTATTAGATTCTCGCTCTCTCTCTCTGATGAATGAATTCTCTTTTTATTTTTGTAAGGTATTAATTGTTTCCTTTCTTCATTTCTCTTTTTAAAACAGTGCTTGAGGAGGCAATATCATAGCGGTTTTGTGAATTTCAATAGGCAACAGTCACAACACTTCTCATCAGTATCAATACCAGGAAATAAACTCAATTATTAAAACTAACCAACGTATTCACTTTGAAAGAAATCCGTCTACTTTGTTTTACCCTTGTTCATATACCACGTGGAGAATGATGAGGGGAGGAGGTAGGATGTTGGTGATTTTCCACGGTCCATAATGTTTATAAATTTATATTGTTTATAAAATCTCTAGACATGTTCCGGGTGGTACGTGGAGGTGGCCAGAATCTTAGTTGATCCTTGATTGGCATTTACGGGACAAGATGGTTGTCCTCAGGGATTTTTTCGGAGCTGACTTAAGTTATAACGTAACTTTCACTTTTGACTTCAATTGCTGATTTTTCGTAAACGATCATTCTAACGAGCAAAGTAATAACATCATCGGACAGATGAGATAATCCCGCATATTATTGTTAATATTAATTTGTATGATTTAATTTGTTATTAGGGAGATATTGAAGATGGAAGTCAAAAGTGACAGTTACATTGTATCGAGGTATTCCTGTATATCAAATTTTACAATGGGAGCAAATTTAAGGGTTATTCTATAATGATGAGAGGTAATCACGCTTACCACTACACCACCGGCGCCGCTAAGTCTGACAATTCACGCAGTTGAAATAAAAAATATGTTTATTGATTCAAAAATAATATGGCCAATTTTTTTATGTTTTGTTTTCTTTTTCACTGATCACGCCTTCCTTCGAAGTAGTTGGTCCTCGGTTCATTAGTCGATATGTAGGGTCCCAGGTGTGGGAGCTGCCTTCCTGGCGTCGGGAGCATTGGTACTCAGTACGGAAAACCAGATCGACAGAAAAAAAAAATCAAGGAAAAAACAGATAAAATTGATTATATTTAGCAACTGCACCTCGAACTGCAGCATACTTACACAGAAAAAAAAATTGTTGGATATTACATCAAAAATGCTGCAACCAGGTCAATCCATCGGTTGTGTAATATAACGTTGTACGATGTACATCGATTATGCGAACAAAATTACATCCATTGATGTAATATTGTATCTGTTTTTTGCTATTACATCATTATTTTATACATCAGCTTGAATTACATTGATCGATATTATATTTTTTTTTTGCTGTGTACTTACCTCAAGTCTCAAGATTTTCGGAAATTTTGCACTTATTTCCCTAAATTCACAATTAAAAACAATACTTACGTGGAATGCGGAAAAGAGCTGAATCAAACGAGAACAGTTTTGTTATTGTTTACATTTTTGTCCGGGTGAAAACGAGGGAATGGTTGGTAGTTATTTTTGCATTCATGGCCCGGGGAATGGACACAGCAAATAAATGATAAATTAAAATTAACTATTGTTATTAGAATATTGTTATTTTTACAATAGTTGCAGTTGAAAAGTGGCTTATTAAAACAAAAAGAATCCTATTTTGAATTTAAATGAATAAGTATTATTGAAACAACAAAATGCAATATAATTTCAACCGGAATTGTTTGTTTAAATACAACTAAAGTTTTTTGTTTTGGTTAAATCAAGAGCAAATTTTCATTACGTCGAATGTAACAAAGGTAAACAAAGTCGAGCTATCAGTGTCAATCGATGCTCCTGCTATTACACTATAATACTGTCTGAATATAGGATCACATCCCATTTTTAAATTTATTTACCAGTCAAATTGCTTTTTGACGTAATCACCTTCCGATCAAAATAGTTTTCGATGTTACTTAAGTCACCCGATTTCTATGGAGATGCCGTTTGCCTTAAGTAACAGCACTGAGAAACCCGTGAAAAGTGTACTTTCGTCGTTTCGCTTTCTCATTATTAAAGTGAATAAATCGAGCCGTTTGTTGCTAAGATGATTTTGGTGGTCCTAAAATGATGAATGAGCTGCACGTAAGGAGACGTAATTGATAATTCTCCCGAATATCCTGGTAAATACACTTTGACTTAAGTAACAATAGGGGCCACCAAACGACGTTTAATAACTTTTGACTCAAAAACCAGTATTTCTTAGCATGAAAGCTAGCGATTTGCCTTTGTATGATTAAAACCCGGCTAAATATGTTAAACATTGCCATCACTATGAGATTATATGTGTTTAATTGGAAATAGGAATAACTTTTCGGTCATCAAAACAAAACTTTATTTTTCTCGGATCGGTGCGAATGTTACTTACGACATAATGAAAACTTGCTTTTGAAATGCACACAATTTTCTGTCCGTGTGTGTGGGATATGGTTCCGTGTAAAGTCCTACAGTACTGTACACTGAAAAAAGTTTTCACTTAGTTTCTATTAGGAACGCACATAGTATTTTTCCAAAAACAAAAACAATGATTCTTACCTTAATATCACATAGCATTAGAAATTCTATATGAGAAATCATATAGATTTCATTGGACACATAACGTTCATGTGATTTAGTGGTGCAATTTCCAATTATGGGATCACATGAAAGTTATGTGAAATTCACATGGATATTTTCCACTGGTTATGTGATTTATTTTATGAGTGTAGGGCAAACTTAAGTTCCGTGTAGTCACCTTCACGGAGAAAAAATAATACCCAAAATTTAACTTCTTTTTACTTAATATTGACTTCAGCCTCTGACTTGCACTTGTTATTGTTGTCAAAAAAGGAACGAGCGATTCGACTCAACGATGTAGTTCAGCCCAATAAGTTACTCTTGAGAAAATTGCATATTCTGAAATTTACTTGAATTAATCTTAATTTTGGGTAGAATATACTTAGGTAATAATAGTAGGTAATTTTTTGCTGGTGTTAAATGGAAACTACTATATCAATAGCAAATTTTCATTACGTCGAAAGTAACAAAGGTAAACAAAGTCGAGCTATCAGTGTCAATCGATTCTCCTGCTATTACACTATATACTGTCCGAATATAGGATCACATCCCATTTTTAAAATTTTTTACCAGTCAAATTGCTTTTTGACGTAATCACCTTCCGATCAGAATATTTTTCGATGTTACTTAAGTCACCCGATTTCTATGGAGATGCCGTTTGACTTAAGTAACAGCACTGGGAAACCCGTGAAAAGTGTACGTTCGTCGTTTCGCTTTCTTATTATTAAAGTGAATAAATCGAACTGTTTGATGCTAAGATGATTTCGGTGGTCCTAAAATGATGAATGTCCCGAATATCCTGGTAAATACACTTTGACTTAAGTAACAATAGGGGCCACCAAACGACGTATAATAACTTTTGACTCAAAAACCAGTATTTTTTAGCATGAAAGCTAGCGATTTGCATTTGTATGATTAAAACCCTGGTAAATATGTTAAACATTGCTATCACTATGAGATTATATGTGTTTAATTTGAAATAGGAATAACTTTTCGGTCATCAAAACAAAACTTTATTTTTCTCGGATTGGTGCGAATGTTACTTACGACATAATGAAAATTTGCTCTTGAATGCTATTCACGCTCCTTCAATTTTACTGAAAAGTGAGTAAAAATCTGCTCTCTTTCGGTAAAAGTGGAACTACTCTAAAGTGAGGTAACCTATAGTTACTCACTTTTGAGTAATGCTAGCATTTGTCAAAATAAGAGTAACTTTTTTTTTTTTTTTATCTAGTTCGTTTATTTGGAAGGCTCAATCGCGTTAGCTTTACGGAGCCGATAATTCATTGTTCACTGTGTGTAACAAGATTCACTTAATTCTATGTCTAGTAGGAGTTGGGCCGATTACTCGCGGCTTACTCGAGGTTAGAAGGGTACATTTTCGAAGGATAGGATCAGGGGAGGAGCTTGGGGTAGGGTTTCGTTGTCTCATCAGAGCGTTGTCGCCAGTATGAACGGTAGTGCTGTTCTAGCTTCGTCCGGAGTTCGACCGGCTATGGTGGGTGACCAGTGGGCGACGATGAGACTCATCGAGACGGGGGGACAAGACAACCAAAAAATAATAAAGAGAGACAAAAGACAAAAGGAATTAAATTCTTATACTAGACATTTGAAGAAAAACATAAACGGACTGCATATAGCAGAGATCACGGGTTGCCAACACGTCTCTGATAGGAACATAGGGTTGTCTTCCTTGGGCCTCGAGGGTATTCAAAAGTCGCTCTCTGGCGGCGTCATTATCCGTACATTGCCAAACTGCGTGTTCGATGTCTTCGTAACCGTTTCCACACCGACAGATGTTGCTGTCCACGAGGTTTATTCTATTGAGATGAGCATCTAGCGAGTAGTGGTTGGACATAAGTCTACTCATCACGCGAATGAAGTCACGACTTAAGCCCAAGCCTTTAAACCACGCTCTCGAAGAAACATTAGGAATAATTGAATGTAACCACCGTCCAAGATTTCCAGTGTCCCAATCGGTTTGCCAACTCGAAAAGGTACTCTGACGCACTAAATGGTAAAATTCATCGTGTGAAATTTGCCTGTCATACAATTCGCCTTCCTGCGCGCCCACCTTTGCGAGAGAGTCCGCCTTCTCATTGCCTGGGATTGAGCAATGTGAGGGGACCCATACAAAGGTAATCATATATGATCTTTCGACCAGCACACACATCTGCTCCCTTACCTTTGAAAGGAAATAAGATGAGTGCCTACTTGGTTTCATCGACCGAATAGCCTCAATGGAACTGAGACTATCCGAGAAGATGAAGTAATGGTCTGCGGGCATGTTGGAAATCATCCCCAATGCGAAGTTGATTGCTGCCAGCTCAGCAACAAAAACGGAACAAGGTTCCTGAAGTTTGCGGAAGGCGCTAGAGTTTTCATTGAAGACACCGAAGCCAGTGGATCCATTGAGACGGGACCCGTCTGTAAAATATCTTTTCATGCAATTGACTTGTTGGTACTTTTCAGTAAAAATACGCGGAATAATAATAGGTCGAAGTTGATCGGAAATCCCATGAGTTGCTTGTTTCATGGTCAGATCATATTCAATTGAGGAACTGTGATTGGTGAAGTGAACACGGTCTGGAGTATAACAAGGAAGACACATATCTGATGATATGTAGTGGTGGTAGATTCTCATAAATCGAGATTGTGTGTTCAGCCCAAGAATTTCTTCAAAATTAGCAATTATAAGTGTG